TTTGCGATGACCGTTGGACCAGAGCGGTTACCGACTGGATCCCTCGGGACGTCAAACGAACACCTGGACGACCGCCGGCCCGATGGTCAGACTTCTTCACGAAAGCTCTGAACGAAAGGAATGAAGGCTTCGTGTCCCTCGAGCGAGGAGGATCCACTGGACCACTCTAGCACGCGACAGGGACGAATGGAGACGTTGCTGGCGCCCGCTCGAGCAAATCGACGATCAACGGGACGACAGGTGATACAGGTGACAGGTGATTCTTATTGCCTCAGTTACTTTTTCGCACCTCATGCCATTACTTCATTTAGCAATTTCTAAAAATGACCGAGGGCCTGCTGAGAACCCACTTCGTGAAGTAAGCTACACCCGAATCACACCCGCTCTAGCTGCTTTTTTTTCGAATCGAAACCGAAAAAAAGTTCTTCGTGCTTTCATCCATGAACATCTATCGAGCCACAAATCGGTCGGAGCCAGAAGTAACATTCGCTTGGTGATACAACTCTTTGTCGCCGTTCACTGTGTGGTATCAGGACCGTCAGAATACACGGATGATAGATGTCTGCCCTCTTTTGGAACATTGTAGAGGCTCGGACAAAGAAAACCTCATTGATTCGTCAGCAATCACAAAAGTGCTACTCAAGTTCAGCCAACATCTTCCATCCTGTTCCATCCCTACGCGGTGGCTGAACAACGCTACTACTGCTGATGAGAAGTGGTTGTTTCATGCTAACCACCTGCCGAAGCACCAGTGGCTGTATCAACCAGAAGCAGCTACAAAACTGCAAAATTCAGCAAAACGTTTTAGCCCAGATATGAAAAACAAATCGCGAGCCAGCCATCGTTGACTTCTCGACGGTTTCGGCCTTAGACAGGCCAGGCCTCCTGCAAAAAAACGCCTGGAGCTGGTTGAAAAATTCAGCTTTTTCGACAAAAATACAATAAAGTATGTCCGCTCCACGATAACCGAGACCAGGTTTTGAAAATGGCACTGCTCTAGGTTTGGAAACTCACTCGGGAAGTCCTACCAGATCTAACGTTCAGCGGTGATCATCCTCTCCGGAGGACTTCTATTCTCTTTTTGAGAAGTAATAATCTTACAGACAAAAAAATGATAAAAGAAAGCCTTAAATCGTCTCATTGCCTTTCTCAGCTTGGAACTGTCGCCCTTCTGAGAGCACGGCATTGACTCTCCGGTGAGTCATTAACAACGTCATCAGTGATAGTTATGATCCATCCTACTATATATAATTCGCTAAGTAAGTCTGTGTGTGTTTGTCACGAAATTCATAGCTCGAGTCACAGTAATGATAGCGCAGTGGTTACATATGTTATAGGGGGTGGGATGGGGACACAAGTGGTATGTGATAGGAACTGATAACGACTGATAATAGCTGATAAGAGGGGCTAGAAAGCGAGCATCGCCAATTTCGTTTTGTCGTTCATATTGGTACTAGAGCGTCTATACTTACAAGTGTTATGTGGGGTGGTCCCGGGACATTGGTGGTACATGATGAAAGCGATAGCAACTGATAAGGGCTGATAAGGCGCGTCAGAACGCAAAAGTCGTCGATTCCGTTACCTGGCTCGCGTTGACACCAGAGCAACCATACTTACAAGTGTTATGTGGGGTGGGACGGGGACATTGTTGGTGGGTGATGAAAGTGATTACAACTGATAAGGGCTGATAAGGCGCGTCAGAACGCAAAAGTCGTCGATTCCGTTACCAGCTCGCGTTGACACCAGAGCAACCATACTTACAAGTGTTATGTGGGGTGGGACGGGGACATTGTTGGTGGGTGATTGAAAGTGATTACAACTGATAAGGGCTGATAAGGCGCGTCAGAACGCAAAAGTCGTCGATTCCGTTACGTAGCTCGCGTTGACACTAGAGCGTCCCTACTTACAAATTCTATTTGTAGTGGTACGTGCACATTGTATCGATATGACCAGCTTACTTAATAGCAGTCGATTGCATAAACTCAATCAAGTCTTCAGCAAATGATAAGTTTCATTTCTATCAAGAAAGCCCAAACTCATTAAACCGCTAATCCTTTCGGGGTTCTAAATAATGGTGAATGTAAATAAATGATAAGCCTTAGCTCCTCACTTATGTAAATAGGCATATTTCATTTTCATTTTGAGACTGACAGCAATCCTATTCACCGCTAAATTATCTGAATTCAAGAAAAATGCTGGATGTTTACAGTTGTGAGATAAATATGCCAGTTCAGCTCCAGACGTTATCACGCGTATTCTCGATGGACTTCAGCGAAACTGGGAAAGGTCTAACACATTCAATAGTGAGGTGGTTAATGGAGTACCTCATGCTGATATTCCATGGGTCCTCCAGTTTCGCTAAAGCCTGCCGTGTGATGCGCGCGATAGCGGGCGGAGCAAAACTGGTATACAGGGGTGGCCAAAAAAGAGACACTTTGCCCATGGCGCACATCATCGAACTTTTCGTCGCACAGGGAGCCGATGTTAATGAAAGTTTTACGGCGGAATATTCCTTAGGTGTTCCCCCGTAAACAGAAGCAGGCCCTCCTTCACTGCCCCCACCGTCTTCAGAATATGACGTCATCTGCCGTCACCGTCGAGCTCAACGAGGCTTACCGTAATCGCTCCGGCCTGAAGCTGCTACATAATTTCTTCAATGGATTAACTGTTGAATAGCTTCCAGAGACATTAGCTGTGACTATGCAAAACCGCTTTTGACCAGCGTTTCAGGGACGTCGTAATGGTCTATGGTACCTCGACGACCTTTGAGCTCGTACCGTGAACCATGTTTCCGTGGGAAAATCTTCTGATGTCGTCGGTGTAGAAGGCTGTCATGTAACTTTTAGATAGATTAGAATGTGCTCTTCAATACTGAGTTGGGGCAGTCGATTTGATTTTAGCAAAGTGTGATTAATGCTGTCTGAAATGTGGAGTGAAGTGTCTCTTTTTTTTTGGCCACCCCTGTATACATAACGTAAATCGGTTTTTGTTGGGATAATGCTAACTCAGAAAAAAAATTTCGGCACGAGCTTTTGGGACAGCGTAAGACATTTAAGCTCTCTCGGTATGTCGGTTAGTCGTGCGTTGATACAAGGCAGTGGTCGGGATGGCCGACCCGACGACTGCCTTGCAAAAGTCAAAAAAATGAATTGTGAGCATGATGAACAGCACAATAGGAAAATTCCCCTGCTGACAGAACTAAAAAAACAGCGCGTTTCTTAGTATCCATCCGAGGAATTGTTAATTTTGAACTATTGAGTTGTCCAGAAAGTTTCTGCCGAATTTTTTTTTCAAAATTCAAATTTAAGAGCATTAATCTCTGGTAAATTAGATCGTCTTTGCTCGAAATAAAAACTTTTACAATCCCCATACCATTGCCTACAATAAATGACCTAACTAATCCGGATGTTGGAAGTGCTGGAGTTCTGTGAGAAAGAAGAAGAAGACCTAAACTAAGAAAAAAAAACTAAGAACTCGGCGAAGATCGTTTCACCACCATGTTGGGTTTCAATGCTCAATCTTTCCAAGTAGACCTTCCAGGTATAGTTGATGGGCAGTAGGTTTAATTTGTAAAATGTTAGCAGCACAATTGTAGCTCGGCTACTTCAACTTGGGAGCCCGAGATGGGGTTGTGCAACAGTGTGTAGAAAAGCCGGTAATACTCGATTCCTCTGGGCTTTTTTCCCCTCACCGCTATGTTTGGAAATCTTATGTGGTTACGCCCGAATCAAAGCAGCCTGTTCAACAGTTTCATGCAGATCTGCTTCGCTCAAAACTCTCAGCTGATCTTTATCGGTTTCCCTATTTTTTGTGGACTCTGAACCAAATGCTTAGTTGATATCGCAACTTGCTTAGGCACATTTCCGAGCAAGTTTGAGGGAAACAAGAAACTAGTGCAAAGCAGGCTGTTGAGTATGTTGTATCAAAATCAACTTCAAAAAAAGTGGAAAGGTGATTCAGGGTTGAAAAAACAGTAGATTTGGATAGAGCGAAGGAACGCGCTTTTTAACGAAATGCAAGGTATTAGCAGTTTTTCGAAAGAGACCCAAAAATAAATCATTCAAGCGTGAGCCACACAAACGGAGGCAACTTTCTGAACAATCCAATAGAACGCTACTGTATGAAATACCTCCTTAGTTTTGTGTTAGTCACGAAACTACGATCATACTGAGAGATGAACGTACTGCTAAGAACCAGGAAATACTTTGGCCTAGCTGTATCAGTCTAACGTATTGTATTGGAACAACCACTAGAAACGCTCGCAGCGACATGAAAACGTGAAGGCAGGACGTAGGATTAAGTACGAAGATGTGCAGTATGCGAAAAGAAGAGAGATTCTGACGCTCGCCGAAAAAGGAGGGGCTGTTTGCAAAACGTGGGCTTCGATGTAAGAAACTTTGTGGCATCGAATTTTAGCATTTACTAGTGGAGTTCAGAGAATTTCCAAATTTCAAAAAAGAGAGGTAGAGCAAAACCAAGTCCATCAAATACTTTGTTTTCAACTATAAAGAAGTTTTAAGGGAATGACCCGCACGAAGTTGAGCACCTAAGCAGCTTCAATCAAATCAGATACACAGACGTGTAGATGTAAATAGAGTTCTGGAATCATACGAGACATAACTGTACACAATTAAGGATGGAAATATATCCCAAACAGAATGTATCCCATCCTTGATCGCATTCCAAACATTTGAAAGTCTGTCATAACGCGGCGGCGTTCGATTGTGAACTTTGACACATATCAATTGTGAAGAATGTCGGAAAAGGAGAGATTCAGGAGCGCCTCATCGTCGGCCCTCCATTTCACACACGCTCTCTCACTGTCACACCGAACGAGATCAGGCTACCGGCGCGGGGCGTGGCCATACACCCAATGAGGACACTCGCGACAACACCGCACGAGCTGCCAATCCTTGAGATCACCTAATCATATACATCTATCATCGGAAGGTCACACTGTTTCACCACCATCTATTATTTGCTGATCAAACAAAAGCCTTATGAGGCTGTTTGTGGCCGCAATCGTCGCCGTGCTGGCGCTCACGGTCGCGGCCCGACAAGTAGGATCCGTGCCCGGTTGTCCAGATCTGGATGTGCTAGAGGCCGAAGTCGATACAAGCGCCGATTTTCTGAATAATTTGCTATTATGTTTTTGCAAGGTAGGACGACCTTTCCCGTTATTTCACTAATAAAACCTTTACTTTGCATTCTTTGGTTTAGGTGCAAGTCAAATGCTCTTTTCTGGTTTTTTTTTTCCATCGGTGACTAGCATTCAACGATGGAAAGTTTTTAGCGCCTAATCTTGATCAGCTTTGTTTTGTGAGGACATAATTACCTAGGTGAAAGACAAAGGCAAGGTCGACATATCTTGTCTTTATGGCTCTAGCCTAGAACATCTAGACAAAGCTACCGAGGCGGTGAAAAAAGCAAATCTTACCACCAATAAGGTACGACTCAGTTGCGATTCGTTGAATATTTCTTACTATCCCTATTCAGATTAGTTTTCAACACACTGAATTCGCTGACTCCGGTTTACCGTCATTCGCTCAGTTAGCACCTGCACTGACAAGCCTTGAAATCCGCGAATGCACGAATTTCGAACCGCTAATCGTGCCGGAAAATACATTCAACGGATTAGAAACTATACTGAAGAATCTTACCATCGATTCTTGTAGCCTAAAGGTGAGTCACACGATGTGGTAGTGAGCGAGCTCGTTTTCATCCGCAACGCAGCCGGTTTCTCGCTTAAGAACGTTCCACATACCTTTGCCTTCATCCAAATTGCACATGGAGGGTAAAGGATGTAGAAGTACTGAGAAGCGGACAACCGTAATCTTTTTCCTTTTCAGGAAATTCCAGCCGCCGTAACAAATTTGAATCAACTTGAAACACTTGTTTTGTCGAATAATAAAATTGAACACGTTCATGCGCCGAGGCTCAGCAACAAAAAAGAGGTGAGTGAAATCATACTGTTAATCACTCAGTCATTCTTATGAGCCATCGAGTTTTTTTGGTTTGTTTATTCCTCAACTGATGTTACTTCCTCACCGCATTACCCGGTCTAGCGGGAAAACCTCCTTGAATTGATTTTATTTATTTGTTATATACGCCATATGAGACAGCGTGAGAAAAAAATGTAATAACCATAACAAAAGCTAACAAAATAAATACGATACACATACTAACACTTCAAGAATAGATAAGTGACAACTATGCTTGTAGAATACTTTTACCTACTGCCCGTTTGAAGGAGCCCAGAGAACCGTGGATGGTAGTAGCCTTGCTGGCAAGTATGCAAGGCCAGCCCTTATCGTGAAAAAGTTTCGTCTAGTGCTTGTTTTGGGCCTAGAAAACGATAATTTAAGCTGACCACCCTAGTTATGGAAGGAATTAAGCTGTAGAAATCCGAAAAATTAACCGCGGATTTGCCTGCCTGATTCTCAATAATCTTTCGTCAGACTATCCACGATGAAGCGAAGCGAGGAGCAGTTGAAATCGTTGGTGCGCCTTAAACCCATATAAGGCGAAACACTTCACTAACGATGACTAACAAAACTACTTCCCAATCGCCTTTCATGGCGTTTGTTCGGCTTCTTTGCAAAGACATACGAAAACTAACTGCAGTTCTAGATCGATATCTCTGCGATCGATTTGCAGTATAAATCGATCGGACATCATGGATGGCCTCGATTCCTTTATTTCCGTGTTAGATCACATTTCTGCCTCCTTCTCTCGAACGAGCCGATTTCTACGATTGCGCAACAATTCAGCGCATGGTTGTAACAGTACCGAGCATGTACTCTGAAGTATTCACGACTACTTGATCAATAAAATGATAGTGTTACAGCCGTCTAACGTAATCCAGTCCCCATACAGTGGTGCAATCCTGTAGTAAAGGGACGAAGAAAACTCGATAAACCTGTCTGAAGTGCTGTTTCAGCAGCCAACAACTAATAACGACTACCAAATGTTTTGCTAGGATACCCATCATTTTTGGCCGTAACTGTTGCATGAGCACTATCATCAACTGAGACAAGGCTCAAGGACAAATGTCTTATAACTCAGACAAACGTCGAAATTGTCTTGCAGCCTTTCTTGATTCAGAAAACATTGCTCATGTTTGACCTTACAATTAAAGGCGAATTTTACGTTGAAAAGGTAGCTATTTGGGAATAAGAGTAGAGGGGTCAGTGAGCAGAGATGAAGAAGAAACCATGTGAAACGGCAACCCAAGAATGGGACCCCCTTGCCCGTTGATTTCCGCATTGATGCGACTCTCATCGCTGTGCCCTCTTCAACGCTACGCTCTCTCTGCTATCTAATCACTCGCCGCGTATAGACCTGCGGCGAGTGAGACGGTGGGCGTTCCACGCCTACTGCGCCGAAGGGAGGGCCAGGATATACGCCAGGTGCATATCCTTCGATGTGTGTTGTACGTACCTTTGGAAGTTCCGCCTGTACCTCAGCTGGTATGTTACCCTTTCATCGACCTTGGTTTCTATCGTGGAATCCTCCTTTAAAATATTCGGGAATTCATCTCGTTGATCTAACCAGGGAGGGGTGCCGAGCTCTTTCAAAATGGTCTTTTGCATGATATAGAGGGCACGCGGAGCCACAGAACCATGTTAATTTTTCCTAAACGGCCCTCTGATTGTGAGTGCCAAAAAAAGGAGATCCCTAGTTCGATTCCACGTGGTGACAAAGTTTTGCCATGGAGTTAGCATGAATTAGTCTCATATTCATAATTAGGACCGTCAGAAACCACGTCACCTCGAAATACAAAAGTTTGTCACCACGAGGAATCGAACTAGGGACCCCTTTTTTGGTATTCAGGGTTAGGAAAAATTAACCATGGTTCTGTGGTTCCCGCATGTGCCCCTATATCATGCAAAAGACCGTTCTAAGAAGCTTGGCACCCCCTGAAAGACCTCCTGGTGACCGTCACAAAAAGTTATGTAGTGAGAGCAACTCACCTGTGAATCAGTCCGCAAAAAAAGCTTATGAAAAATACTGTGGTTGATTGATTTGTGTTTGACCTAACAAAAAGCAGATGACCGTTTAACCAGAATCGTCTTATAAGAACTAGTACAGCTAGAGCGAGAAGAAAAGTCGGCAGGGTAAGCTCGAAGCGCCATCTCAACAGAGCGAATCTCAACTTTAGTTTTCTATGAAGGTATGCGGTGACCCATGAACCACCTGTACCATCAGATGTATCTCCACCTTCAATTCCAAGTGTTTCTAGAAAACTCCACCTCCCAATGAAGGAATGAATCAATTATTATTGCGGCGCTGGTCAATCCCCGTTCTTGAAACGCACCACTCATTCGACTTCCATTCAAAATTGTTGTGCATGTCGAATACGTATTTGGCCTACATACCAGAGTTGTGGTGCCGTTCAGCAAGAACTGATTGCGGGAATTGATTCTCGGATCACGCATGCATAGCGACGCCATTTCCGCTGGTCTCCACTTATCTCCATTTCCTCCCTTTCTTCGCCTTCCCATTCGAAATTGCACTAAATAACGACTTGGTCTTGCTTCAGCGACGTTAAAAATCTCCGAACTATTCATTTTGTTGCTTCACTGACCCTTTCCCACAGGGACTACATCAAAGACTTACTACCCCAGTGTTGTGCGACCAACAGTAATTATCGGCTCGCGGACCAGTGAAAGCGGTCACACGCGTGTGAAAGTCGTCATTCTCAACATTGCTTTTTTGACTCTGGGAGATTTACATTTACTAATTTGATGTTCACTCTGTAAGAGACGCTGTGATTCAGTTTCAGGAATGTAAAGTTTTTGAAGCTGTTGCTACATGGAAACATGCAAAAATCTAAGTGCAAGTGAATTCTGTCATTCAAAAACCGGTCTAATCGTGACCTCATTTTTCTTTCGGAGCCGAAGATTTCTCTGGAGATTTTTGTTCATACTTTTGGTCGCCCATAAATGACTTTTCATGCATAAATTTCCAAAAGTTGAAAACATGCCACATTTTCTGGAAATACTTAACTTGGCAAAACACTGAGTGCTACTTAGAGAAACAGCGGAAAATGAAGTGTTGAAAAGTGGTCATCGAAATCACAAGTAGAAAAAAATCAAAGAACAACAACCAATACAAAAAGGGCACCCCTTCTGCTCCTCAGTTATCAAGTTACAATTGGGTACTTATATGTAAAACATGGTGTTCTTTTTTCCTGCCATAGGATTTACTCGTGTTCATACCCCCTTTTCATAAGTGATGTTTAAGCAAATCTTTGAACGTAACGTAGACCAATAAGCAATTAGAAGACGAAATGTAAAGTAATGAGCATTTGTTCAGCCCCTTGAAAAAGTCACTTGTTCCACATGAGTTCCAAATCTTGAAGCGTTTGGAAGGCATATATGATTTGTACAACGAATAGTGGAATCGGCATTGTCAATTCCACAAATCTCTGCTACTAAGTAGTCACCCCTATTGAGGTGAAATACCAGCAGGGTCCGATGTACGAGTGACTGGTACAAGGAATTTTACCACTGCCCCATCTAACCATCTGCGCACATACTAGGAAACAGCGCTTAACACGTTGACGACAGGCTGACGCGCATGCGCGTCAGAACTATTTGATTCACTTTTATTGTGCTTGCGCTCCTTCTTCTCGATTTTTTGCATTCATTCTATAGATACATAACTATAAACCACAGATTCTATAGATACATAACTATAAACATTACATTAACATAACTATAAACCACATGGCAGCCAGAGTGGTCAAATATCCCTTGATTTAGCAAAGATTTTCTGAACGCACAAAACTTTCATTCAATTCTTTCCTAGTATTCCTTTCACTGTCGTAACATTCATATGAAAGATTGTAGAAGCAGTTAATACAAAACTCTGTGAGTTTCAAGATATTTGTATTTGATGGAAGAACTTAGGTATAAATGCTTTTAACTTCATTCGCAGCGAAAGTGATGTTTTTTGCTTCGTGGTCATTATGCGTTCTTCTAAACAAAAATCTACTGCTATTTATATAGTTAACCTTTATGCTTTCATCCTTGCCGAAATAATTCTATGAGATTCAAGTTGTTGTGCATTTTAACAAAAAATAAGCGGAAGTAAGGTGAGGACGGCGCGCTCGCAAAATCGCTCCTGTCCCACGCGGTGCAAAATGCCAAAACACGCGATGTCGTCAACGTGTTAAGACATACCAAGGCACTAGCAGGAAAGGCCCACAATTAGAACTTGCGAAAAATCTTAGATTACGAACCTGTTCATTATGACAATATCTTGACAGCAGCAGCAAGGTACGCTGATAGCATTGTAGCAGACGAAAGGATGCCAAAATTGAGCAGTGCTTCTACACATTAGGTGGTTCACTTAATTCTGATCAGCGGCACTCAATGATTAAATGAAACCATAAAGCTTGCTGAAGGCTAAGACCTTTGATAGCTTCGGCTTTGCTCCACAACTTAGAATGGTTTCCCTGTCACTGCTATTGATTTATTGATTGTTTAGACACAATAGAAATGAAGCGATCAAAATTGCACTTCTTAACCTTCTTTTCTTCCGCTATTGAATCTAAAAACTGAGCTGATGAGATTTATTGCTATTTGTTGGAACTAATGCTGATCAGGTTCTATCGCACTGTGCCCGTGGACATTTCTTTCAATAATTTAGAAATGATGATTTTGATGTTACTGGCAAAAAAACGCCCCACTCAAAGAATCCGCTAGTTCTTGCAATTAGTGTGAAGCTTGTAAACCTTATAGATGGATCTTTTTGAAAACGTTTACATATAATGAGAATGATTAGAAAGAGAGAAAAATGGCTGCTAGAAAATTGCCCTGCCCCACTCTGACTGTCGGCTCGGCGCAAGGCCAAATTCTGAAAAACTTTCAGGAAACACTTTTGCCGTTTGGATGGGAAATCCTCCTACCCTCGACGTAATGATCGGTCACAGCGTCTTCTGATACCATTTCGTCAGATAGATGCAGCACAATTCAGCTGACAGCCGATTTCGAAAAGTTTAAAATGTGCAAAAATGAGTCCTTGAATTGATCACCATGGAACTAACTTAGTCGTGTTGAGACCGCCATTTTACAAAGACGGAGAAAAGGTTGATGAAAATTGAACTTTGATTGAATTAGTTATAACGGCTGCCCACAATACACGTTCACTTGAGCGTGAAAAATGATCAAAAAGTAAATGAACCACCTAATAATTATGGACCATGATTCTTCCAGTCCATGATATAAAGGGTTCTGAAGGGATGACAATTGACACATGACAATTACTCACTATTATCAACAAGCCCACAACGCCTGAAAGAGTAATGCTTCAATTAGTGAAATTTTAATAGAGCACTATTCCGTTTCAGCTCAGCTATCTCGATTTATCCGGCAATTTCATCACCACCGTCGACGTTGGCTCATTCGAACCACTTCAAAAACTCGAAACACTCATCTTTGGAGAACGAAACTACATCAATGATTCCGTTGTCGAAGCTATAGTAACGCTCAAGTCGCTTAAGGTAGTCTGGAGTTAGAGAAACACCAAACCTTGTGCAACACTCATACCGTTCAGACACTCGACCTCTCTCGCGCTGATGGGATATTCGAGCCACCTACGGAGATTTTTGATGCGCTACCGCACCTCGAAGTACTTAAACTGAGCGGATGTAGTGTGTCGTCTCTAGAACCTGGAACATTTGCAGCGCTGAAAAATCTGAAGGAGGTAAGCGCACAGTTACATTGTGTTGATTGCTTACGACATGCGTTGATCTGATTTCAGTGAGATGACACATGTTGTCGCGAATTTTTCACCAAAATTTCACAGCTCCATTTCGGTGCCAAAAGGAATCCTTCCCGTAAAAATTATTGCATTCTTTCCCAACACGCTATGTCAGTTGTGATCACTAGAAACAGCATACAAAGTTTCACGCATGAAGATTCGTTTCCGAAGAGAAACAAACTTACAAAAACTACACTCTATGGACAATCGAAGGCGCGGAGCCAAAGGCGGGGCATGGAAAGAAGTCGCCTTGGCGGCTACGTATCAGGCGACGCAATGAAAGAATCGGGTTAAGCGTGCGATTTTGGAGAGTAGAGACAAATCGATCGATAGAATAGGATGGAGTAGAAGTGTGAGATGTGAATGCAATAAGTCAAAAGGCCAGAAAGAGTTTCTAGTGACGGCAAAAGTGGAAGCATTCCCGTCGCCAGCATTTGTGACAGATGTCCGGCGGTACTTTGAACGCGTAGCAGCCCTTTCGGTTTTTCGAATTTTACCAAAACAAATGCAATTTTTTGTTCTTTTTTTTATCGTGAACCGGGTCCCAAGCCAGTGAATTACGGGTGAAATAGGATCACAATTTTCTCGAGAAGGGTTTATTTGAAAATCTTCTTCAAATATTTGGATGGTCATATTCTGCTGATGCTACGCACAAACCACACCCAAATTTTTTGATCTCTCCTCATTAGGAAACAGATTTTAAGAAACTTGGGTCGCTCATCTGCTGGTTCAGAATATTCAGATTACAGCACAAAAACTCGGAGGTATTTTATTTTTGCGACACTTTAGCACTTTTCAAAGAATTCTTTATGCACTGCCCGAACCGGACACATTCCAATCCCCCTTCTTCGGCTCAAAACCGCAAAATCTCAAGGGAAACAATTTAAAAACGCTCAGAGATATTTAATAAACTGATTCTTCCTAGCACATCATAACATTCCCACTGGCTGCAGTTAATGCCCTGGATCTCCTTCGTCCACAACGATCCGTGGCCTTTGACTGCCTCTTAAACTTCACCGCAGCGTACAGCTAGTAGTTCCTATTTTCGAGTTTTCAGGCGCTTACTGTCCTTCTTCTTCGCTTGCGGCCCACTACGCATCTCTACTTCCACATTAGTGGGATGTTACCACACAAATTTGATCCTGGGGCTTATCTTCGAAAAAAAGCCGCTGCCTCACCGTAGCATCCACTTGCTCGGAGAGTTAAAATGGTAATGGATCCTATCCACAAGGAAGAATTTCTTATTCAGCTTCAAATGATAATAATAAAATAAATAATAAAAATAGTCAACTCAGCTCCTCCTCAAAATTTGCCTAGGTTATGGAAGTTTATTTATTCATTTTTGGTCTATTTATTTATGCGTTCCATGACCAGTTACAGCGGGGGGCGATGCGGGAAAGTGACTGCAACTTGAAGGAAATGCTAGATCATTCACACAGGTATAGGTATGAAATTACATAGAAAACACTCGCCCAGAAAAGATAGAATCATCGAGCTGTAAGCAACGAGTGACGGTCTAAAACTGGCCCAGAACGCATGTTAACTAGGAAATTACAAGCATAACAATAGCAAGCCCCACTTTCCGGCGGTAAAACAAGACGCTCGCATATCCAACTATTTACCATCTATGACATCATCCTCGAAGGATAGCCACACAACAGACTATTGAATTTCTTGTGAATTATACAAGTGCTAAATAGCAAAAATTTGTCACTACTTTGTGGCAAGGAACAAGGGCTACCCAAAACGTATGAGGGAACCGAAAATAACTATCACCGGGAGAACACAATGTATTCGGTACAATATATTCGAGAGTTGGGGTAGGCCGTGGCTGCTGCCGCACTTGATAGAAGTTGCGTGGATAAGCTGTTGCCAGCATGCTTTGCTGATATCCAGCGATGTATGTTGGAAGCAGCTTATCCACGCGACATCTATCAAGTGCACGTCATTTCCGGTGACACGCCTACCCATAACTCTCGGAAATGGACTGTATTTGCGTGTGCAAAATGGGCCGGTAGTAAAGAAAAAAGAAAACCCGTCGAAAACGCCTAGGGTAAGGGCTTACCCATCTTCGCAATATGCCGTGCTAATTCAGTGAGAGACTAAGCGCGGAGAAGCGAGTACGAGGCAAAAAGCGTGAGTAGAGGCGAGAGAGCGCAACATATGAGATGATGCCAAACAGCAGTATGCTGTGGAGGGGGAATTGAAGCAACTGGAGCTATCTTTACAAAGCCTCTAAAGCCCTTGTCGGGTGATTTTCATGCACTGAAGTGCCACATCTGTGATTGTTTTCCAGGGGTCTATCCTTTGAGTGAAGGGAATCATTCACACGTCTGCCTTGGTGTACCTTGAAGGAAATCTTCCGCGGAAAAAGCTCCGCCTCCATTACCCTAGAGTATTCGGTACAATATATTCGAGAGTTGGGGTAGGCGGTGGCTGCTGCCGCACTTGATAGAAGTTGCGTGGATAAGCTGTTGCCAGCATGCTTTGCTGATATCCAGCGATGTATGTTGGAAGCAGCTTATCCGCGCGACATCTATCAAGCTGCTGCCACGTCATTTCCGGTGACACGCCTACCCAAACTCTCGGAAATGGACTGTATTTGCGTGTGCAAAATGGGCCGGTAGTAAAGAAAAAAGAAAACCCGTCGAAAACGCCTAGGGTAAGGGCTTACCCATCTTCGCAATATGCCGTGCTAATTCAGTGAGAGACTAAGCGCGGAGAAGCGAGTACGAGGCAAAAAGCGTGAGTAGAGGCGAGAGAGCGCAACATATGAGATGATGCCAAACAGCAGTATGCTGTGGAGGGGGAATTGAAGCAACTGGAGCTATCTTTACAAAGCCTCTAAAGCCCTTGTCGGGTGATTTTCATGCACTGAAGTGCCACATCTGTGATTGTTTTCCAGGGGTCTATCCTTTGAGTGAAGGGAATCATTCACACGTCTGCCTTGGTGTACCTTGAAGAAATCTTCCGCGGAAAGAGCTCCGCCTCCA